AGGAAGGAAGGAAGGAAGGAAGGAAGGAAGGAAGGAAGGAAGGAAGGAAGGAAGGAAGGAAGGAAAAAAGTGGAATGGAATAGGAATTAAGAAATAAGAAATGAGATTAAATAAGAAATAGAATATTCCTTCCTTCCTTCCTTTTTTATTGGTACAATGGTTAGAAGGCAGTATTGCAGGCTCTGCCCATAGCCAGTAGTTCAATCATGACTGGCTTATGGTTGACTCAGCCTTCCATCCTTCCAAGGTGGTAAAATGAGGACCCAGATTGTTGGGAGCTGCAAAACCGCTTACAGAGGGCTGTAAAGCACTGTGAAGCGGTGTATAAGTCTAAGTGTTATAGTGCAATTGCTATTAACCCCATTTTTTTATTGTTATTTGCTACCCCTGAATTGAGGAGGGTTAAGAAAAAAGCTATTAAAACATTTCCGGGTGTTTACGGAGGAAATAACCAGCCTGTGCTTGAGGGTGTGGGGATCAGATTCCTGGATCTGGATGAGAAATCTCAAGGATTTACATACCTCCTGAAGTTGAAGCAATTTTTCTTCCACCATTGCAAATTCGCTGGTTTTCTCCATCAGCTGCTTGTGAAGCTTGATCATCTCTACGTTGTCTCGAATGCTGAGCCTCCAAAAAGCAATTTTGATTTTTTTTTCCCCCAAAAAGAGAAAAATCACAGTTAGACCTTTTTTTTGGGGGGGGGGGGAACTAAAGCAACCAACGCATGCATATTTGATCTTGGAATCTGTAACCTTGAAAACAATTTCTTTGCAGCTTCTTAATTCCTAACACAGTCATGGGACAGAACATTAGCTGGCCAAAAGTCTTTTTTTTTCCCTTTCTTTAAGTAAACATTACAGGTAGTTAAATCAATCCACGCTTCAGTGGAAGAGGGCTGAGCAATGCTGATTAGAGAGACATAATGCTTTATGCCATAACATTGCGGTAAATGTAATAGTTAAAGGAATAAATTGATATTTATAATAGTTGATAGTTTTGCTATCAAGCAGCTTCCAAACTTGTGTTGTTGGATAATTATTTTTTTACTGACTTTTTTTTTTCTCCCTGGAACTTATTCCCTTTCTCAACTCAACTATTTCCAAGACCTGTGATTTAACATGTTCCATAGACAATACTTTGAGACCGGAATTAAAATAAGCTGCATTTTAGCGAGAATAATGCTCGCACAAAGTTGGAAAAGTGACACCATGCCGACAGACTGTTTGATAATCCAAAAGATTTTTGATTGCGCAGAAATGGATAAACTCACATTGGAGTTAAGGGACAAGGAAGACTCAGAATATTATTCAGTTTGGGAAAACTGGCATCAATGGCTAAATAAGAGGAACATGAAATGTATAGCTTAAAAACATAGATGTACAGATACAGGAATAATTAGAAATGTATAAAAATGCATTTGAATAACAAATGGTTGTTAGTACTGTCAAAAAGAATTTTAACTTATACAAAACTATTTTTAAAGATATTTGTATTTTAAAGATTTTAATTTTCAATAAAGGTTTATTTAATGTAAAAAATAAGTAAAAATAAGATAAGCTGCATTTAACACTGACCAGTGTGGCCGAAATTCTATAGGGCTAAGGTGCTGTTATACATTTCCCTTGGTGAGATTCAATAACAAATTCATAATTTTATCTTGTGAAAAGTTAAATATAGATAAGAGATCAGAAACATAACCTTTGATCTCATTGTTATTCTATCTGCATGGGTGCATCAAGCCAAGACCAATTTTTTAAAGGAAACTCCTTAAAGGAGTTTAAAGCTTAAGTGCTAATATCAAATAAAGCAAAAAAAAAAGATAAACAGAATTTCACATCTTGAAATACGCTATTTCTCCCTCAATACTTATCTGCTGAAGACAGATTGGGGAAAAAATTGTTCCACTGCTGGAAACAGAAATTAAGACTACAAAGCTTATACATCTGTAAACCAGCTGAAAACTTAAAACTATAAACTATACACACACACACACAAACACACAAAGTGGGAGGGAGAGATATAGTTTTAAGTCTCTTGTAATCTTCCAATAAATTGTGTACAGTAAGTTGGGACGGCATCCCTGCCTGGCTCTAAGTGCAAAAATTAACGCCACGTTATGTTTTTATTACAATTATCGTGCTTTTCACATCAAACAACTTGTCTGCCTTTAAAGACTGTCTAACAAGTCCTCCCTTTTATTTTTAAATAAAAAGGAGGGTGTTTTTTTTTAAAGTGACAGTGTCCTGCAGATGTTACTCTAATAGCTCTTAATGACTAAGATTTTCTAGATTGTTCCACGGTGTGTGGGGTGCAGGGTCTGTTGTCCAGATAAGGCAGGAAACTATTGTTCATTTCCAAACCCCCGATAGAAAACAGCAACAATGGCCCTCATTGCTGGTTATCTTTTTCAAGAAAAATTGCACCTAATTCCTGCTTTGTTGAATCGTTGCCACGAGACCAATTCTCTGTTGTTGTCGTTTTATACCGAGGCACATATTGTTTCACAACTGTATTTGTTTTACATTTTACATTTCTGTTACACTGATATCCCCCACAATGCCGGGAGTCTTTTTCACATGTCACGTCAGCCATCATGTTGTTTTATTTTGAATTTCCATGAAAGGCTTAGCGCAAATGAGAACCGAGCTCCAAATATCATGTTTAAAGAAGGAAAGATACGGGGGGTTATTTCCGAGTGCAGCTAGTCCTCGACTTAACAACAGTTTAGTGACCGTTCAAAGCGGCATTGAAAAAAGTGATTTATGATCGTTTTTCACAGTTACATTTATAGGATCCCTGTTGTGGCCCAGCAGGAGCCGTTGGAGCTGCAAACAGACTCCAACAGCGAGGGACCCTATGAGTCGGCTCTGGAAGATGTGGAGGACCCTGGACAGGGTTCAGACTCCGAGCAGGGACCAGAGAGGCTGGTTGGCCACCAGGAGGCACCTAAGGCATGGAACAGCGGTGAAAGNGGAAGGAAGGAAGGAAGGAAGGAAGGAAGGAAGGAAGGAAGGAAGGAAGGAAGGAAAGGAAGGAAAGGAAGGAAGGTGGAATGGAATAGGAATTAAGTAATAAGAAATAAGATTAAATAAGAAATAGAATATTCTTTCCTTCCTTCCTTTTTTGTTGGTACAATGGTTAGAAGGCAGTATTGCAGGCTCTGCCCATAGCCAGCAGTTTGATCATGACTGGCTTACGGTTGGCTCAGCCTTCCATCCTTCCGAGGTGGTAAAATGAGGACCCAGATTGTTGGGGGCAAGAGGCAAAGATGATTAGGGGGCGGGAGGCTAAAAGATACGAAGAAGGGTTGCAGGAATTGGGTGGGTCTGGTCTAGTGAGATACAGCATCCTTCACTTAATCCTCCAGGGAAAGATTGAAAGCAAAAGAGGGCCAGGCAGAAGAAGAACATCGTGGCTTCAAAATCGGAGGGACCAGTTTGGACAAAACTCAACAGCACTTTTTCCTGCGGCTCTTCATAAAAATAGGATCGCCAACATGACTGCCAACATCCAATGACGGATATGGCACAAGAAGAAGTCTAGTGAAAAGAAGGACTAAGAGAGACATGATAGCAGTCTTCCAATATCTCAGGGGCTGCCACAAAGAAGAGGGAGTCAAGCTATTCTCCAAAGCAGCTGAAGGCAGGACAAGAAGCAATGGGTGTAAACTAATCAAGGAGAGATGCAACCTAGAACTAAGGACAAATTCCCTGGTATTGAGAACAATTAATCAGTGGGATGAATTGCCGCTAGAAAATTGGGGGTGCTCCATCATTGGAGGTTTTTAAGAAGAGATTGGACAACTGTTTGCCTAAAATGGTGTGGAGTTTCCTGCCTCAGCAGGGGGTTGGAGTAGAAGGCCTCCTCCAAGGTCCCTTCCAACTCTGATCATCCTTTCCATCAGACTTCATCCAGCCTAATCACGAATCTAAGAGGCATTTCAGGGTTTCGGATTGCTTTCACGCTTCCTCTTTACAAGCCTATTTGTCTCGAATGTACGAAAAAAAGGGGGAAGACAATTGCACAATATCGAGAAGTTATTTGTGGGTCAAGAAATATTTTTTTCCTGGGCTGATCGGGTGGCCCAACACAACGGACTCCCAAGCTAGTTAACGACATTCTAACCGAGTATGTTTAGCCTAGCACTGTGCATCAACCAAGTCATGTGCTTCATATGAAAGTCAACGTGTTGCGTGAACTCAGAAGAATGGGTTACTAAACTGGGTTTACCTTAAACCCGGAGCCGCATGCAGCTCTTTCGTCCCCCTGCTGTGGCTCCCTGTCAGCTCAACCCACCACTGGCTGGCCCTGCCCCTCGTCCTCCCCTTCCAGTCACTCCTCCCCTGGCCTGAGAGAGAGAGGGAGAGAGGAGAAAGAGAGAGACACACACACAGAGATACCCGTTTCCCACAGAAAACACCGGGAGCCACAAAACCTGGGTAGCTGTGGCTGGGGGTGTGTCATGTGACTGGGTGGGAGTGAGTGAGGTCGAGTTGGCCACAACCACCCAGGTTTTGGGGCTCCCGGTGTTTTCTGTGGGAAACGGGTCCAAATGGCTCTTTTGAGTGTTTTAAGGTTGCAAACCCCTGCCTTAAGCAAAGGTTAACAGGTCTTGCGAACACAACCTCCTGATTTCCTTTTTTTTAAATCCTGCATTTCTTGTCAAACCCAGCTTTTCTGACCATCTTCCAAGGGTAATTTCGAACAATAATTTTAGCAGCTTTCGGGACTGCTCTGTCCCGCCGCAAAGCTTTGCCACGGCCCTGTAATCTCTCCACTTAAAGTTTCTTTCTTTCCAGAGGGAAGAAAGAAAAGGACAGAAGGGAACAGAACTCAAACACAAAAGGAAAAAGAAAAAAAAAAAGAATGAGAGATTGATGAGACTGCCGGCTGGGCAAGTGGCCCCAGATCAGGATTCAATCTTGTAAAAGTTAAAAGACCGATGTAGTGGAGAACATGGTCGACACTTCCTAAGGACCATAACCGGACCCAAAGGAAGTTCTCCCACGCAGGAGCAGCTTAGTCACCCTAGAAGGCTCCCCGAATAATATTAATGAGTAAGCGGACAAGATTCTTGAAATCGCTTTTCTAAGGCGTTAGCAACTTCACCCTGCTCCCGCCTATCCTATCCAGGTCATTGAGTTCAAGATTACATATCCATATTTCTGACTCGGATTATTTTCGCCGAGAACGTTTGAAAAATAATAATAACCCGAGTTTAAAAGAAATTACTCCATTTGTTATAGTTTACCTGTGATATAATTTATCATAGTTTTCCTTTAAAAGGTCCCTCTCTTTTTCCAAATCATTAATTCTGTCTTGCAGCTGGAATGAAAAAGAATGTTAGGGGGGGGGGGGGGGGAGGCATCCCGTAAGGTGGCAAAAGCAACAATTACTAATGTCCAATAGGTTTCCTGGCTAGGTATCTGTGTCAACTGCTTTCTTTTGCCAACGAGGGATTGATGATCCCTTATTATCACCTTAGCTGCTCTGATGTCACCAAAGGACAAGGCAGATTACAATGGTACCTCCGTCAAAAGTACCGTATTTTTCAGAGTATAAGGCACACTTTCCCCCCCAAAAAGAGGGTTAAAATCTTATACACTGAATACAGAATTTTTGGCCTCCCAAAACCCCGCCCCACCGCATCCCGTTTTTCACAAAAATGGATGCACAGAGGGTTTCGGAAGCTTGCAGTGTATTCCTGGGGGCCAGGGAGGGCAAAACCCTTTTTAAAAAATTTACCTCTTCAAAATCTTGGTGCGTCTTATACTCCGGTGCATCTTATAGTCCGAAAAATACAGTATTAACATTAATGCTTCCCTGATGAACGTGTCAGTTCTCTGGGATGAGATGAACGTATCGGCAGGTTTGATTTTTATTTATTTATTCTATCCAGCCTTTAATATATTTTATACATAACGAAAGGCATCCAATATGCCTAATACTCCTTCCTTCTCCTATTTTTCCAACAACAACAACAATCNTCTATATCCCATCCCGTCACTTCTCTGGAATAGTATAGGGTCTCGAGCAGGGGGCTGGACTAGAAGACCTCCAAGGTTCCTTTCAACGCTGTTTCTATTCTATTCTACTCTATTCTAGTCTAGCCTAGTGTTCATTTCTATTTCTATATCCCATCCCGTCACTTCTCTGGAATAGTATAGGGTCTTGAGCAGGGGGCTGGACTAGAAGACCTCCAAGGTCCCTTCCAACACTGTTTCTATTCTATTCTACTCTATTCTAGTCTAGTCTTCATTTCTATATCCCATCCTGTCCCGTCCAATCCCACTACCTTTCTGTCTTTTGGGAGGAAAGAGATGCAGTGGACCCATTCGAGCAAAGAAAGATGAGCTCACAAAGGGTTGACCCAAAGTATGAGAAGAAGCCATCTCAAAAACCAGATGCGTGCAGGCTCACATTGGGTGAGGAGAGAAAAAGCTTGAAGGGAGGGAGGGGCTGTGCGGGCTTGAGCTAGTTACCTTGAGGAGCGCGAGAGCCTCACTGAGGTCGGCCACATCGACATCGTTCTCCTGAAACAGAGAAATAATTAACAAAAAGGTTCTCTTCAAGAAATGAATAATGGAAGGAAGACACTCTCTTGCATTCACACAAAACATGACATTCTAGCTGGATGACATGAATAAATGAACACTCTGTCATAGCCTCCGTTATCCGGTTCGGGGCTTTTAAGAAAGAAGCATTTGCATAAAATATAGAAAGCTTCCTTCTCCCCCCCCCCCCCCCAAATACCTTTATTTCTACTTGGAAACCACTTCTGGACTTTGTGCTTGAGGTGGCAGAAATCTGAAACTCTGTTTTGGGGGCTTTTACCAATGAGATAAGATTTGTTGATATAGAAATGGCTAATTTCCATGATTATGAAAAAGTAAAAAGTTGAGTGTAGATGTTAATGCCTTATTTTACTACACCAATGGATTCAGAAGTCAATGCCTTTATTTCTCTTTTTCCCCTTGCTTTCCCCCCCACTATCCACTTCCCTTTTTCCTTCCTCAGTTTCCCTAATATTTATTTTTGTATTGTCTTGGTACGTTATACTAACTAATAACCCGGCGTTACCTGGGTTCCTTCCATGAACATCGCCGCAATTTCTAATGTTGGATTTTGCCCCTTAGCAGAGGGAGTACTGTAGAGCACTGTGAAGCCTTTATCATGGCAATTCCACAGCGTTGTACAGTAGAAGTCATTTTAAGGCAGTACAGTAGAAGCCATTTGAAGGCACAACAGGCTGCATCTTAACAGAAACCCCCCCGCCCAAGGGGTGTTAGGGGTGTCTTACCCCCACAGTATTTTCTCCAGAGGGTAAGTAATCTGTGTACCAAGTTTGGTTGAAATTGCTCGAGGCGTTCCAGGGTTATGCTGGAACACACACACATACACACACACACACACAGCCATTTTTATATNCCCAGAATCCCCCAGCCAGCATAGCTGGCTGGGGGAATTCTGGGAGTTGAAGTCCACAGGACTGAAAGTCACCAAGGTTGAGAAACACTGCCCTAGAGAGCCAAGTCTTTGTGTAATACATCCGAAGTAGGCTAATTTAAAACCGGGGGGTTGGACTGGATGACCTACAAGGTCCCTTCCAACTCTGTTAATCTGTAAGCTTGTATACGGTAGGTACAAGAGAGTTTGGAACTGAACATTAAGCCCACGACAGCCAATGCCAAATTCCTGGAGGCCTAGGAGCATTTAAGAAATGTAGATAGACCTCAGCTTACAACTGTTCAAAGTTATGACGGCACTGAAGAAAGGTGACTTATGACTATTTTTTAACACTTGCAACCGTCCCAAAGGTGCTTTTTTCAAGAGGCAGCTGGACTTTCTGGTGTTTTTTTTTCTTTTGAAGACATTTCACTTCTCACCCAAGAATCTTCTTCAGTTCTGACTGTCCAAGCTGAAGATGCTTCTTGGATGAGAAGCAAAACGTCTTCAAAAGAAAAAAAAAACAGAAAGTCGAGTTGCCTCTTGAAAAAAAGCACCTGGAGGGACTGAGACTCACTATAGACACACAACTGTTGAAGCATCTCGATGGTCATGATCAAAATTCAGATGTTTGGCAACCAAATTTATATTTATAACAGTTACAAGGTCCCAGAGTCACGTGATCAAGTCAACTGGTCAGCCAGACTCACTCAAGATGTTCCTAACTTAACACTGGTGGTCATTCACTTAAGGACTGGGGCAAGAAAGGTTGCACAATGAGACAAAACTCACTCAACCAATGTCTCACTTAACAACAGAAATCTGGGGTTCGATGATAGTCATAACCCAAGGACTATCTGTAGTGGATCGTAGTAGTACATAGGTTGCCTTTCGAAAGAGGAAAGGAAAACCCGAAGACCTCCTTAAAAATGATTTTAAAAAATGGAAGGAATTCAATCAACCCAGATTCATAGTATTAAATCAACTGAAATCCTTCTGATTTATGTCGGGGGTGTTTAGTGTTGACCAATTGTCCAAAAGAATCACCACTATTTTGTGGGCATCTAAGACACAGGTTTAACCTCTCACCTATCTGAAACGTAGACCGTTAAGAGCTCAATCCAATACCTTTCTTGGTGGCCTCGTGGGCTCTCAAACCTTCCGCTGCCTTCTTGAGTCCCGTGTTCACCCGTGCCTGGACGTAATTGTAGGGCGTGTGTCTTTGGCCTCGAAGCTGAAGTTGCTGTTTGGTCGAAATCAGCCGGTTGCGTATCATTTCGTTCTGTTTTTCTAAGTCCCGGACTTTCTCCTGAAGTTGTTCGATCACTTCCTCCATCTCCACGTCCTGACCCAGCCGCCTGGGGACGCCCCCGATCTGCTCTGCTGCTTTCTTCTTGTCATTAATGAGACGTATTAATTTGGTGGCCATTCTGGAGGAAACAAGTCAGATGTATCCANTCTCTCTCTCTCTCTGTATGAGTGTACAAGTTTTGATTTTTGTGTGGGATCGGGGACAATTGTGCCTTTTCTCATTGGAAAATATTGGACTGTGCAGAGATGGATGGAAAATAAAAGATAAAGGAGATACAGAGTACTTATTCAATGTGGAATAGGTTTTATCAATGGTTAGAATAGAATAGTATTTATAACAAAATAGAACAGAAATAAATAGAAATAAATAGAATAGAATAGAAATAAGTAGAATAGAATAGTATTTAGAATAGAACAGAACAGTATTTAGAATATAATAAAGTAGAACAGAATTCTTTATTGACCAAGTGTGATTGGACACACGAGGAATTTCTCTTTGGTGCAGATGCTCTCAGTGTGTGTGTGTGTGTGTGTGTATGAAAGAAGATTATATATATATATGATAGAAGATAGAAAGAAGGAGGAGGAGGAGGAGAAGAAGATAAAAGGAAGAAGAAGATAGGAGGAGGAGGAGGAGGAGAAGAAGAAGGAGAAGGAGAAGAAGAAGAAGAAGAGGAGGAGGAGGAGGAGGAAGAGGAGGAAGAGGAAGAAGAAGAAGCAGCAGCAGCAGCTGCCTCTGATATTGTCTATTCAGACCGGTAAGAATCAAGGGATAAACCAAGGACTTTGAACCAAAAGACCCACAATTTGGATTCCTGTTACTAGTTAAAACGATTTAGTAGCAAGAAGACAGGAAGAACGGCCCCTCTTTTGCCCTGAGCTAGTCAGAAAAAGAAGAAAAAAAATTGGACAGCAGACCAAGCTGGCCTGGCACACGGCACCTTTGTTATGTTCCTGGATCTTCTCCACAACTTAAAACTCGAAAAGAAATCGGCATGTTTGGGGCGCACAGGTATATACCTCGTTCCATTCTGATTCTGTCCAGGATATTGTTTTTTTCGGCTAAATCTGCTTTTAAAGCCGCCTCGAGCTGACCGATCTGCCGTTTCAGCTGCTGCTCCTTCAGCTTCCACTGCTGGTCGTGGGTCACCCCGAAGGCACTGAGAAATTGAATATGAGAACAACAACAAAAAGGTGGAGGGAATGAAAGCACAAGACACGCGCATAGGTAAACATACTTTGCTCTCTTATGCACATGGAGGACCTTCGTGAAATGGTCTCCAATCCCAAAAAAGATGGAAGCTGGAAGTCAGGGCAGAGACAGGACCATGATCGTCAGGACAAGCCAAGAAAGGAGAATATTTGTAGCTCAGGGTTGAAACGAGAGGCCCTCCATGCTCTCTGAACTTGGCTCTTGCAGACGTTTCATTACGCAAACTAGGTAACATTATCAGTGCACTGATGTTTGGATAATGAAAGATAAGGCAAGAAAACGACCAGGTTCAGACAGCACCAAGGGTCCCTCATCCTGAAAAGGGACGGGAGATCGAGGCGTCTTTCGCAGGCTGCAACGATGGGTCACACACAAAAAGTTTTGCGGGATGAGCAATAGAGTTGGCCTAGATTTATACACACATATACACACATATATAGACACACACATACTATACCTATAGGTAGGTAGATAGGTAGGTAGAAAGGTGAGCTAAATAGGTAGACAGGTAAACAGGCAGACAGACAGACTCACATATGAGAGATAGGTGATAGATGAGATAGATAGANAAACAGAGGGAAGCTAGAACAAAAGACCAAGGAGCGTGGAAGGGTGATGTAATAGCCCCTAAAATCAGAAGGTACTGGCAGCAGTGAAGGATGAGGTCGGGGAGAAGAACTTGGCAGGCTAAGAAACAAAAGGGGGCTTTGATGGAGGAGGGAAGTACAAAACTTTCACTACATTGGTCGCACATCTCTTAAACGGCTGCATCTACTTTGTAGGAAGACATTTGATTTCTCTTCCTTTTCCTTTGTGGAAAACCCAGGCGGGAGCCTGAAAATAGAGGCACACTTCATCTATTTAAGGATTTCCCCTACTTTTTTCTTTTTTTTATTAAACTCCTGCTTTTTTCTCTAACCAAGAAAAGAAAAAACATATACGGGAGGAGGATATGATGTTCAGCCCTTGGAGATGAACACAGAAGTGATTTTGCTGTAATGAACAAAGAAGGTTAAATTCTCCCGAAGTTGAGTAAGATCTTTAAAAAAATGTAAGTTCTTTTTCTTTTTTAAAAAGAGAGCTTTAAAAAATGCATAAAGGAACCCAGCTTAATTCCTTAATTTATCATCCCACGATAGGATACTCTCTTCAAGTACAGAAGGTCCTCAGCTTACAACAGCCTGAGCCATTTTCCACACTTACGACCGTTGCATCCCTCGCTCAAGTGATAAAAATTGATATGCTGGGCAACTGATTTACGACAGTTGCGTCTTTCCCGGGGTCATGGGATCCCCTTCGGTGACCTTCCGACAAGCCGAGTCGATGGGGAAGCCATATTCACTTAACATCCGTCTGACTCACTTAACAATCGCAGTGTTTCGCTTAAACAACGATGGCAAAAAAAAATCGCAAAATGGGGCAAAATTCACTGAACCCATGTCGCACTTAGCAACATGAATCCTGGGCTCAATTGTGGTCGTTAAGCTGAGGACTACCCATGTTTCATTTTACAAACAACATTTTAGGGAATCAATAAGGAAGCCAGACCAATATTTTTGTTGGGCATTATACCAGAAAAATATGATAAAAAGACTATGTANGCAAATCACTTATCCAAGTGTCTCTCACAAACAAACCACGACCGATGAACAATGAACCATGAACGAACGACGAACGTTGACTTCTGCAACCAGGGTATGGCACCATCAGTCCTTTTATCCCCAGAAGATCACTCTAACGAGCCCCAGCTGCATTGTTATTCCTGCATCCCGACTCAACTCACAGCAAACTTCTGCTGAGTCACAACAATTTGCCTATAAAACGCTTCCAGGGGAAGAAGGTAACTTCTGGAGGGTGGGATTGCAGTTTAATTTAAAACAAGATTTTTTAAAAAAAAACCTGATCAGAGGGTCTTAGCCTTGTAAAAGGACAGGCTCTTAAGAAAACAAAGATTAAGATAATCTACCGATAAAACAAACAGCCTGTCAAAAGCTGTTGGCCTTAATATCATCATCTGTAATCAATGCAATGAGGGGTACCGATCTCTGCATTCCACGTTGCAAAGAACGGGAAGACAAAAGGCTCTGAAGTCTGCAATTAATTTTTTCCAGCCTTAAAACAGCATTTGAAAAGTTCCAGCCCGAAAGGATAATAAAACCTGAAACTCATCGGCAAAAGCCGAAGGGAGAGAAGGGAGGGGAGTGGGGAAGCAGGCAAGGGATCAAAACAGCCCTTCCTGTCCAAACAAATTTGCAAAAGGATCAGAAAGGGCCCTTCCCATAAACGGTGAATGAAATCGAGAGGGAAAGAAAGAAGAAAGTTTGCTCCATTCGCCGAAGAAAGCAATCGACTTCAGAGCCAATTGGTTTCCTTTGCGGTGATGAAGAATCATCAACAATTCGAAGTAAAGCTGGGGGGGGGGTTCCCCTTTTAGGAGAGGATGGAGGGGGGGGGAAGCATTTGCAAAGAGAAACACATCAAACTCAAGGAGTTCCTATTTGTTAGTCCTGCTACAATTCAATCCAGATTTACATCTTCGCTGCCGTTTTGCGAAATCTAAGCTACACGAACAATATATATATATCTATATTCCTCTCTCTCTCTCTGTCTCTTTCTTTCTCTCTCTCTCTCTCTGTCTGAGTGTACAAGTTTTGATTTTTGTGTGGGATCGGGGACAATTGTGCCTTTTCTCATTGGAAAATATTGGACTGTGCAGAGATGGATGGAAAATAAAAGATAA